TGAGGTCAATTTTTTTTTATTGGAGTTAAAATTAACGTAGATATATGACCGAACCTAACCAACCCTACCTAACCTAACCTAACCTATATTTATAGGTAAGGTTAGGTTAGGTAGCCAAAAAAAGCTAGGTTAGGTTAGGTTAGGTAGGTTAGGTAGACGAAAAAACATTAATTCTTGAAAACTTGGCTTATTAGGCAAATCGGGCCTTGAATAGTAGTCTGAGAAGTGCGTTCTGGCTATTAGGTACGACATATATATATATATATATATATATATATATATATATATATATATATATATATGACAATGTCAGACCACGAAGGAAAAAAGAAAGACCTTCTGAAGATGTATTTAATATACGAATATATATATATATATATATATATATATATATATATATATAATATTGTACCTAGTAGCCAGAATGTTGTACTTGGCCTACTATGCAAGGCCCAATTTGCCTAATAAGTCAAGTTTTATTGAATTTATATATTTTTCAATTTTTTTTACGAAATGATTAATCTGGCTATTTCATTATGTATAAGTTAATTTGTTTAAATTTGAGTTAAAAGTAACGTAGATATATGACCGAACCTAAGCAACCCAACCTAACCTATCTTAACCTAACCTAAACTAACACAACTTCATCAATAATTTATGTTCCTAATATAATAATATAATAATAATTAAAATAAACTAATTGGAAACAATTTATTGAAAATAAAAAAAATCACTCGGCCTATTAGGCAAATTGGGCCTTGCATAGTAGGCCAAGTAGTATGTTCTGGCTACTAGGTATGACATACATATATAATGTCGTACCTAGTAGCCAGAATGCACTTCTCAGCCTACTATGCAAGGCCCGATTTGCCTAATAAGCAAAGTTTTCATGAATTAATATTTTTTTCGACTACCTAACCTACCTAACCTCACCTAACCTAACTTTTTCGGCTACCTAACCTAACCTAACCTATAAAGATAGGTTAGGTTAGGTAGGGTTGGTTAGGTTCGGTCATATATCTACGTTAATTTTAACTCCAATAAAAAAAATTGACCTCATACATAATGAAATGGGTAGCTTTATCATTTCGTAAGATAAAAATTAGAGAAAATATATTAATTCAGTAAAACTTGGCTTGTTAGGCAAATCGGGCCTTGCATAGTAGGCTGAGAAGTGCATTCTGGCTACTAGGTACGACTATATATATATATATTTTATTTATATATATATATATATATATATATATATAAAATAATTTGGAAACAATTTAATGCAAATAAAAAAATCACTCGGCCTATTAGGCAATATATATATATATATATATATATATATATATATATATATATATATATATATATATATATATATATATATATATATATATATATATATATATATATATATATATATATATATATATATATGGCACAACTCTCCTAAACACGAGAGTAAGTATACAAATTTAGAACACTTTCCCACCAGGAGACTCGAACCCTAGCCAGCACAGAAGCCTTCCAGCAACTGGCATAACAGGTACGCCTTAACCTCTCCACCACCGCTCAGACCCTTAAAAGAGATGGTAATTTCGGAGTATTTAAATACCCAAAGATCAACACCTCCCAAGAGCACCAGAGCAAGTGAGGGGTCATTTAGACGTTAATTTCATCAAGTCCCTGTTAATATGGGAAGACACAGTGTCTCTGCTTAAGGCACAACTCTCCTAAACACGAGAGTTAAGTATACAACTTTAGAACACTTTCCCACCAGGAGACTCGAACCCTAGCCAGCACAGAAGCCTTCCAGCAACTGGCATAACAGGTACGCCTTAACCCTCTCCACCATCTCTTTTAAATTACCATCTCTTTTAAGGGTCTGAGCGGTGGTGGAGAGGGTTAAGGCGTACCTGTTATGCCAGTTGCTGGAAGGCTTCTGTGCTGGCTAGGGTTCGAGTCTCCTGGTGGGAAAGTGTTCTAAAGTTGTATATATATATATATATATATATATATATATATATATATATATATATATATATATATATATATATATATATGCAAACAAGCCTGAATGGTCCCCAGGACTATATACAACTGAAAACTCACACCCCAGAAGTGACTCGAACCCATACTCCCACAACTGGTATGTACAGGGACGCCTTAATCCGCTTGACCATCACGACCGGACATAAGGAAGTGATAGCCGAGGCTATATGAACCACTTCCCCGCCGGCACTCGGATGGTAATCTTGGGCATAGCATTTTATCAAATCACCTCATTCTTTGGGGCACACGTGAGGAACACAAAGACCCCAAAGTGTGCCCCAAAGAATGAGGTGATTTGATAAAATGCTATGCCCAAGATTACCATCCGAGTGCCGGCGGGGAAGTGGTTCATATAGCCTCGGCTATCACTTCCTTATGTCCGGTCGTGATGGTCAAGCGGATTAAGGCGTCCCTGTACATACCAGTTGTGGGAGTATGGGTTCGAGTCACTTCTGGGGTGTGAGTTTTCAGTTATATATATATATATATATATATATATATATATATATATATATATATATATATATATATATATATATATATATATATATATATATATATATATATATATATATATATATATATATATATATATATATGTCGTACCTAATAGCCAGAACGCACTTCTCAGCCTACTATGCAAGGCCCGATTTGCCTAATAAGCCAAGTTTTCATGAATTAATTGTTTTCGACTACCTAACCTACCTAACCTAACCTAACCTAACTTTTTCGGCTACCTAACCTAACCTAACCTTTAAACATAGGTTAGGTTAGGTTAGGTAGGGTTGGTTAGGTTCGGTCATATATCTACATTAATTTTAACTCCAATAAAAAAAAATTGACCTCATACATAATGAAATGGGTAGCTTTATCATTTCATAAGAAAAAAATTAGAGAAAATATATTAATTCAGGAAAACTTGGCTTATTAGGCAAATCGGGCCTTGCATAGTAGGTTTAGAAGTGCATTCTGGCTACTAGGTACGACATATATATATATATATATATATATATATATATATATATATTATATATATATATATATATATTGTTCTGGCTACTAGGTACGACATATATATATATATATATATATATATATATATATATATATATATATATATATATATATATATATATATATATATGTCGTACCTAGTAGCCAGAACGCACTTCTCAGCCTATATGCAAGGCCTGATTTGCCTAATAAGCCAAGTTTTCATGAATTAATTGTTTTTCGACTACCTAACCTACCTAACCTAACCTAACCTAACTTTTTCTGCTACCTAACCTAACCTAACCTATAAAGACAGGTTAGGTTAGGTTAGGGAGGGTTGGTTAGGTTCAGTCATATATCTACGTTAATTTTAACTCCAATAAAAAAAATGATCTCATATATAATTAAATGGGTAGCTTTATCATTTCATAAGAAAAAAATTAGAGAAAATATATGAATTCAGGAAAACTTGGCTTATTAGGCAAATCGGGCCTTGCATAGTAGGCTGAGAAGTGCGTTCTGGCTACTAGGTACGACATATGTATATATATATGTTATACCTAGTAGCCAGAACGCAGTACTTGGCTTACTGTGCAAGGCCCGATTTGCCTAATAAGCCAAGTTTTCCTGAATTTATATATTTTTCAATTTTTTTTCTTATGGAATTATAAAGGTATCCATTTCATTATGAATGAGTTAATTTTTTTAAATTTGAGTTAAAACTGACGTAGATATATTACCGAAACTAACCAACCCTACCTAACCTAACCTAACCTAACCTAACCTAACCTATCTTTCCCTAACGTAAACTTACACAACTAAGTCAATAATGTATGTTTTTAATATAATATATTAATAATAATTCAAATAAACTAATTAGAAGCAATATATTGGAAATAAAGAAAATCCCTCGGCCTATTAGGCAAATCGGGCCTTGCATAGTAGGCCAAGAAGTGCGTTCTGGCTACTAGGTACAACATTTATTTATATAATATATATATATATATATATATATATATATATATATATATATATATATATATATATACATATATACATATATATATATATATATATATATATATATATATATATATATATATATATATTATATATATATATATATATATATATATATATATATATATATACACACATAAGCCCAAGAAGCCCAATTTTTAAATTGGGTTGTGTGTCCCTTGTGTCCAAAGTTTCTCTCGTTTCCAAAGTTTCCCCCTGTGACCAAAGTTTTCTGCTTGAGTCCACAATTATACATTTGCCCCAATTTTCCCGTGTCCAAAGGTTCCACCTTAGTCCAAAGCTTCCCTTCTTGTGTCCAGTGATTTCCCCCTTATGTTTAAAGTTTCTCCATGTATTCAATGTTTCCCCCTTGTACGAATTTTTTTTGGTGTCCAAAGATTCCCTTTTGTGTCCAAATTTTTCTTTTGTGTCCAAAGTTTCTCCTCCTTGTCATGTTCACAGAAAACGGTACCATCCGTTTTCTATGTGCTGCGGCTCAGAGGCCGAGAGAGAGGTAAACAAAGAGCGTACAGGACGCCCACCAAGCTTGGTAGCTACTAGTCATGTAATCGTTTATAAGTATTAAAGTCAGTAACCAAGCCATGACTTTATATCAACCCTACAACCAAGACTTCCTCAGCTACACACAAACACCACACTCCTTGTGTCCAAACTTTCCTCCCTTTATGTCCAAAGTTTCCACATTGTATCGAACATTTTTCCCTTAGGCTTGAAATTTCATCACTGGGTAATATTTCCCATGTATCCAAAGAATCCCCTTGTCTCCAAAGTGTTCTCACTGCATCTAGGACTTCCCTTTGTGTGCAAAGTTCCTACCTTGTGACCAAAGTTCCCCCGTGTATCCAGAGTGTCCCCCATTGTTTGTAGAAGTATCCACAGGAGGAAGTCAACCTGAAGAAGGGAAGTGAGAGGGTGGAGAGACATACCTGAGGACGGCCCGGGGGTCGCGCACCAGGTACACCACCTGCAGGTCCAGCGTCTCCTCCTGCAGGAGCGGCAACACCCACTCCAGCCCCAGACGGACCACCTGCAACACCACGCAGTCTCCGCTTCAGTCCTTACCAAAGAATTCCTTAGGTTTGTAAAGTGTAGCTTGAAAGCTTTCCTCTTTGATTGCATGTGAATCATTTGTAACTTGCAAATACGGTAGTTTAAGCATAATGGTTTATTTTGAAGTTGTGAGACTCTGATAAGTTTTTTAACAGGCTCGGAAATGGTCTAATGTTTCCCTGGAAATGTTCTGTCTTCATAGTGTTGGAAAAGTAGAGCTAGCTGTCGCATATTGTAATATTGTAAGTGCTACTGTGGCTGGTGTTATATTTGCTATGCTGAATATCTAGTTCTATGACAACCAAACAATGATGTAGACAAACTGAATGAAATATGTGAAAGAAATACTTCTGGATATAACCTGAAAGACAATCTTTGTAAATGTGATATAATTATTTTTAATCCTTTGGACTTTGTTTTGAGTCCACATCTTTATCTAAAACTACTGGACAGAGAGATTCCTGTAAAATATTCAGGTACAAACAGAATTACATTACATTATTTTATTTTTATTTATTTATATATACAAGAGTTCTTACATTCTTGTACAGCCACTAGGATGCGTAGCGTTTCAGGCAGGTCTTTAATCCTATGTTCCCCGGAATACGACCCCGCGAAAAATCGTTTAACAGTCAGGTACCCATTTTACTGTTGCGTTAAACAGAGGCTACAGTTAAGGATTTGCGCCCAGTAAATCCTCCCCGGCCAGGATATGAACCCAGGACAATCCTAGTATATCATAATAGGACTTGTATGTCAACTTTCTTGCTGTTCTCAGAGACCTAAAAGTCAGAAACCAGCCCGTGTAGTGCTGACTTCACCAGAGCTTTCCTAACTATATCACTATTACAGGAATTACTTCTCTACAGCTCACAACGTGGAATATAGTCTTGAAGGACAAAACTGGCAGAAATGTACCCTCTACTAATCCCGAACAGGAAATACTGCTGACCATTTCCTAAAGGCGGAAGATGACCGCCAACTTGCTCATGAAGTTGAACACGTGGATCTTGAGACCGCTTGTAATGCCTTTAAAGATACGAATGTTGTCAAAACATTCATATGCTCTTGACAACAGCATTCTTAATATATAGGCAGGACGAGAAAACACCTTCCAATAAAGGTGTTCCAAAACACCTTCCAATGGCTGCACACCAGCAATAAGACTACACAACCGTCCTCAGTTTTGAAAGTTCTTTCTAAGACGAATAAAAATACAAATAGAATATAGATTTATTTTTCTAATATTGTATATAACTTTTGAGGATCCAGGTAATACAGTCGGGTTCGTTCTAGACGCACAATAGAGAATTCCGGGTTCGAATCCCGGCCGAGACAGAAATGGTTGGGCACATTTCCTTTCACTTAATGTGAAAGTACTGTTCACCTAACAGTAAGTAGGTATTTAGGAGTTAGTCAGCTTGTTGTGGGGTTGCATCCTGGGCGGGGTCAGTAATTCGACCGGGGGAATGGGGAACCTCAATGGAAGCATAATGTGTATGAATACACTCTGGCTTCCTGTCCCCCGACACAATGAATTATTATTATTATCATGTTGTATTTTTCTCTCTCCCAAATCCTGCAGCGTATACCTGAATTTACCTCAGGGCCACTAACACTTTAGTGGCCCCCGACGAGGACAGAAATCCGCCGGTTTGTCAAAGGTCCTCCATCTGCACCGATATTTTTTTCTAGCTGTATTTTAACATTTAACTTTTTTACGGCTTCGGCGGGTAGGCGGTTCCATGGGTTAATAATCCTGTGGGTGAAAAAGCATCTCCTGTTCTCAGTCCTACATTGTGTCTTGTTGAGCTTGAAACCGTTGCTTCTTGTTTGTGTAAAATTTGGCCTTTTGAAGAAATTGTCCAAATTAACATCCTCCATATTATTTAGTATTTTAAAAGTTTCGATGAGATCCGCCCTGTGATGCCTGGTTTGTAGTGTTGTTAACCCTGTGGCCCTCAACCGATCCAAATAGTAGAGTTGACTTAATTCAGGAACGATTTCTGTTCCCCGGTGTTGAACTGTCTCCAGAGCAACTATGTCCTTCTGAAGATGAGGTCTCCATGCTTTGATACAGTAATCCAAATGGGAGAGCACCAGAGATTTATTTAATTGAATCACTACCTTCTTTTCCTTAAGGGGGCCGGGTGACTGTGTACCGAAATCTCATCGAACACACTTAATTTTTATTAATAATATCTTCATGGTAAATGCTCCAGCTTTCCCTAATGGATCAATATCATATAATGAACAGAAGAAAAGTTAAATAAAAAAAAATCACAATTTCAATTTAACTTTAAAATTATTAAAATGTCACCAATTGTTATTTTATTCATTATGGTTTCAGAATAATATATAACCTTCATGTTCCTCAGTGAAAACTATTGTTTGAGAGTAGAGTTTACAGAAAAAACATTTTTTCAATGTGCCCATCGAAATATGTGCCAAATTTATACGCAAAACATTTATAACTCCAAACGTTATGGGTTTATGACTAACCGACACTGATGACACCTTAGAACTAAGAACTTTGCACATAATACGTAAAAATGGTGAGAATCGGTCAGAAACTGAATTTTTTAGCTGTCTCAAAAGTTGAAATTCCTGTTTAGATATAATTGAAGTTGAAGTTTTCGACAATGACTATGGTAGTTCAAATTAATCCATTTTCTTGTATGTTTTAATAAACATTGCTTGACATTCTTACTCGAATATATGAAAGTTGTAGGTCAATATGTGCTGAAATGAAGTCAAGAAAAAACTAAAAAAGCTAAATATAGGGATATGTTAGGGATAATAAACATATATTTTAGTAACTTTATTGCCCATATATAAGTGATAAGGCCCCTCATCTTGTCTTCATTCATCAATAAACCTAAAAAAACAACAAAGAGAATAGAGTTTGAAATCTGAAAATAAATCGGCCCGAAAAAATTAGTCACAAATTCTGCCACCTGTGGCTGACTAACAAGTTGACCAATTTCGTTCAAACTTCATATGCTTAGTGCCGGAAAAACATTCTCCAAGACGTAAAAGTCACAACAAAATCCACATGGAAACAAAGGAGAGAAAAAACAAAAAAGCTCACAAAAAGTGGTTGTCAGCTTTTTGTACAAAGAGACATAAGAAATATTGCCATTGGACAATGTATTTATATGATATGTAATAAAATACAGCATTATAACATACAAACTTCTTATTATGTGTATGTGAAATCTGGTCCTCCAGGTGGCACCAGCTGCATATCAACTTTGTAGACCCTCCTTACTACTGCTATTCTTCTTTGTGCGTCGGACAGGTGCTTACATCTCTTTATCCCTGATTACCAGTAAATAAGAGGTGTTGTCGTTATTATTAGTACCGGTTGCCGCCCGTCGCACAAGCATATATTGTTAACAAATTCGTAAAAAATCCATTTCTTAACATATTGGGATGGAATTTTCACGACGCTGATGCCAAATAACGGGAGATTTGTTTAACATTTTAAACTCAAATATCTCAATATCATTTTCACTTTCCACTTTGTCAAGAATCTTTGTGTCATCTGCCAATTGATGACGTGGTTTGTAATATTCTCATCTATGTCATTGATGTATATGACAAAAGGGTTGGTCCCAAAATGGACCCCTGTGGTATCCCACTTGCCACATTTCTCTAATCAGATTCATTCCGCATTTAGCACGACTCTGTTTTCTTTGTTTTAACCATTATTTTATTCATTCTAGTACTCTCCCTATTTATTCCATGTGCCTGTAATTTCCTTATCAATCTTTCATGTGGTACCTAGTCAAAGGCTTTAGCAAAGTCCATGTAAGGTTTAGTAAAATCCATGTAAACTACATTAACCGAAAGTCCTTTGTCAGAATAGCTGGTTACAGTTTCCAAAAATGTGAGCAAATTTGTAAGGCAGGATCTGTTTTTAACAAACCCATGTTGCATCGATTTTACAAGATTGTTCAATTGAGATGATGATTGATTTCCTCCCTTAAAATCTCTTGCCTCCTCTTGTCGTTGGGAGGTTGAATTTGTTGGGGAAATATTCCCGACATTCAACCTCTTTTACCGATCTGCGTGGTCTAGAGGTAAAGTACTGGTTATGTCAAGGTGCGCGAACACCTGGCTTTCCAAGGTACTAGTACGTACACAGGAGAGTGAGCTCTCTGTGTTACCCTTGACTTGTGAGTTTAAGCATGTTTACTGAATATATATATATATATATATATATATATATATATATATATATATGCAAACAAGCCTGAATGGTCCCCAGGACTATATACAACTGAAAACTCACACCCCAGAAGTGACTCGAACCCATACTGCCAGGAGCAACGCAACTGGTATGTACAGGGACGCCTTAATCCGCTTGACCATCACGACCGGACATAAGGAAGTGATAGCCGAAGCTATTTGAACCACTTCCCCGCCGGCACTCGGATGGTAATCTTGGGCATAGCATTTTATCAAATCACCTCATTCTTTGGGGCACACGTGAGGAACACAAATGCAAACAAGCCTGAATGGTCCCCAGGACTATATACAACTGAAAACTCACACCCCAGAAGTGACTCGAACCCATACTGCCAGGAGCAACACAACTGGTATGTACAGGGACGCCTTAATCCGCTTGACCATCACAACCGGACATAAGGAAGTGATAGCCGAAGCTATTTGAACTACTTCCCCGCCGGCACTCGGATGGTAATCTTGGGCATAGCATTTTATCAAATCACCTCATTCTTTGGGGCACACGTGAGGAACACAAATGCAAACAAGCCTGAATGGTCCCCAGGACTATATACAACTGAAAACTCACACCCCATATATAGTCCTGGGGACCATTCAGGCTTGTTTGCATTTGTGTTCCTCACGTGTGCCCCAAAGAATGAGGTGATTTGATAAAATGCTATGCCCAAGATTACCATCCGAGTGCCGGCGGGGAAGTGGTTCAAATAGCTTCGGCTATCACTCCCT